GTGCTGGGGGCTGTCCCTGCTGGCAGCAGAAGCAGGGAAGGGGGGGGGTTGAGCACCCCGAGCCCTGTGCCATCTCCCACCTCTCACCCATTGATCCCCAGCAGTGGTGGCCGCTGCTGTAGGATCGCATCATGGACCAAGATTTCAAAGCACATCTCTGACCCCTTCCTGTTCAGGCTGGGAAGGTCCCAGAGCTGAAGGTATAACTGGAAGCCTGCAGCCAGGTGCTCATGTCCCAAAGGACCAAAGTGACCGAGTTCAGACAGCCCTCAGCTCTGCCTGGGGACAATCCCATGGGATGGGGGAGGACCCCGCTGGGAACATCCCACCCCTCTCCTGCCTCCATCCCACCAGGGTGGGCTGCATGGGCTGGAGATCCGCTCGGTGCTACACAGGCAGCGCAGGAGGAGGGAAGGGGGCAGAGAGTCCACATCCCTCCCCATAACCCTGTCCTTCATCATCCTTGTCTGGGAAATAGTGGGGGGGGAGTGTCAATGTGAATAAACCGTTTTTTAATGGACCAAATAACACAGGTGATCACGTTTTGGTATACAGACCTTTTTTTAATGCTACCTTGGAACCATTGTCCTGAGTCTCCGCGCCCCTTCTTCCCCACCGTGGGAAACAAACCTCTTACTGCTTCATTTCTGCCTTTTCTCTCGACTTATGCACTTTTTTGCCTTTTTTCATAGCTGAAAAGCACCTAAACCTGTATTTAAAATAAATAAATGAATAAAAAATGTTAAAAAAAAAAAAGAAAGAAAGAAAGAAAGAAAGAAAGAAAAAGAAATGGAAAAGCTGAATCGCTTCTCGTCCAATGTAAAATAAACCTCGCCCTTCTCGGCTGCCCGGTCAGGTCTCAGTGCTTAGAAGGTTTTTCCTTTGGATCCATCACTTGGTGGGGGTTTGCCCTCATGTTTTCCTTCCCGTGGGGCTGAGCACCCACCGACAATCCATCCTTTGGCCTTTTTAACCCAACCCTCGAATGGAACAGACCGATTGATCCTCCTCGGTTTCCTCCACAATAAAAGTATGGTTTCTACCTGCCCGTGGTGCTGGTGTCATTGCAGTGTTCCCTCGTGCCCCTGGGACACACAGGGACCTGGAGACATGGGGACCCTGCAGATCTTTGTCCCCTGGTGCAGCCCAGGGGGGGTTCAGCATCTGCATCCAGCCCTGAGCAGGGGGTGAGGGCTCAGAGGTGGGTGGCTCTGCTGGCCCCGTTGCCTCTCCCAGCTCCGTTTGTTGTTCCCATTCCATCTGTGCTCCCTTTGGTGATGCAAACCAGAAGAACGCTTGCAGTTAAAAACTCGAGAAATCCTTATTTCTTAGGAAATCTTCCTTGGGAAATCCTTTCCTGCGATTCTGAGTGGTGCTGCGCAGCTCCGGGAGCGGCTCCTGTTGCTTTTTGGGGTTTGCTGCCCCGTTCTGCATCCCGGGCTGAGCTGTGCTGAATGTCATCCGCACACACAGGAAAAAAAACAAATAAACCCGGTTGCGTGGCCGCCGCTGCCGCTCACGGACTGCTTTGGGGCGGACTGGAAGGGGTGAGAACCTAAAGGCAAAGGGAGCTGCAAAGGGTCCCGCTTGGATGCGGGGCTCTGCGGGGCGTCGGGCGGCGGCACCGCTCTGCTGGGAGCAGCTCCCCGTGTGGGGTGAAACCCTTTCCAGGCGGATATGGGATCCCCGAAGCTACGGGGGCATCTCGGGCTGATGGAGCTCAACCGGAGCCTCCGGGAGCGCCGTGCGGGGCCGCAGCCGGGCTGCACGCGTGCGCCCACCCTTTTATCTCCCAGTCGGCTGCGGGGATCGGCATCGCCACTCCGAGCTGCGGGGGTCAGCATCGCCTTCCCGAGCTGCGGGGCTGTAGGGCTGTAGGGTTGTGGGGCTGCGGGACGCGCGGAGAGGACGTCGGGGACGGCGCTGGGGACACGGCTGAGCCCCGGCGGCCGCTCGATCCTCGCCATGCTGGATATTTTCATCCTGATGTTCTTCGCCATCATCGGCCTGGTCATCCTGTCCTACATCATCTACATGCTGTAGGGGACGCTGCGGGGGATGAGGATCCGAGCAGAGCCCGGCGCAGGTGAGCCGAGCGCTGATTACTGGGCAGAACCGTGCGGAGGGGCGGGGGGTTGTATTTATTGATGTTTTCTGCTTGGGGATGGAAGGAACGCACAGACGGCCGTTGTTCCGAGCGGATCGCCCCGTGGAAGCCCTCGACCCCCCCTCCCCCGGGTGTAGCTCCTCCCGGTGCTCTGCTTCGGTTCCCGTGGGGGGGCAGACAGAGGAGGGACGGCGGCTGCATCATTTAAAAGGAGGTGAAGGGGAATCGTGGTGCCTCTGCCTCCCTCGTAAGGAGCTGCGAACCCCCCCGCCCCCACCGCTGCTCACCAGCATCTCCCTTCTCTCCCGCAGATCCTTCTGGAACAGCGTTGCCCCCT